GTAATAATAGTTAAAATTATTATAAATAATATAATATAATATATATATATATATATAATATATATAATAATAAAAAATGTCGAGAACCATTAATTGAAGATGTTCCGATTAACATTAAAATTTAATAATAACATTTCTGAAGAAATGCTCCGCAGATTTTTGAACGTAGGCGCACACACACCGGCTTAATACAGTCATAAGTAGGTACATGTACCTGTAACTACTACCACGTTGCTGCTTTTTCTTTTCTTTTCTCTTCCTCTTTCTTTCTTCTCTCTTTCTCTCTCTCTCTCTCTCTCTCTCTCTCTCTCTCTCTGTACCTATTTATCTATCTTATTATTATATTATTATACTATATTATAATTATATATATTTATATATCTTATTTGTATGTAATAATCCAGTCAGGGGTTCAATAGCGTAATAAAAAAAGGAAGAAGATTTCTTCCAGTTTTACTACAATATTTATGGTGGAACGACTTAAAACTCCGTTAGTCAGAATAAATTTGACTAGATTCAATTGACGAATATGTAGGCCCTGAAACTTCCTCTTTTATTTCCCATAACAGCGAAATACTAAGGAACATAACCTTAACATAATAGTGACAGATTAAGGAACCTGGTAAAAAATGAATTTTAGTTTCGTTCGCAAATAGTCTGAACACAGAGTTGCAATTTATTATTTATTTATACAATTAACCCTTTACCACATATTATCGTGTCAAACTCGTTATGAAGATTTCGAAATCGAAATTAAATTCTGCTCACCTACCATTAATATTTAAACATTGAAACAAAGATTGCCATATAATAAATATAATTCTTTTGATATTGAATATAATAATAATATAATAATATAATATATAATATATAATATAATAATAATATAATAATTGAATTTATTGATAACAAATATACGTAGCTGCGAAACAAATCGCAGTGCAAACGATTAAAACTAGGCCTAAAAATGAATCCCACCAGATTCCCATCAATCTCGCATCGTTGCAGCCTTTGCGTTTCGAATAAAATCCACAATTAAATAAAATCAGCTCTAGGATAAAATTGCATTTCCTATGCGAACGATTCCTCTATGCCAGAAATGCTTGAAATCGAAAGAATCGAAGACTAGACCAGAGGATGAATCGATTTCTGGCCAGCGCATATTTCTATTCCCCGAAAGAACCCGACGCACGGAGAAATACATATGTTGCCGGAATTAACGGTATTTCCGATAACGTAGCGTCATCTTTCCGGCAGACCGCGACGTTTAGCGATGAGCACGAAGAAACTCGGTCGCATTTTCGTGGTACAGATCATCGGATACGTCAGACAGGTGTTAAACGCTCGCTCAGCGGCCGTGTTAACACCTCGAACATCGTTCGTGCGCGGCTGCGCACCGTCCGCCGGCGCAGCTGCGCACTGACCGCCGGCGCAGACACCGCGACTCGTCCGCCGGCGCGGCTGCGCACCGTCCGCCGGCGCAAACGCCGCGACTCCGTCCGCCAGCCGGTGAACAACGAAGTTCATCATCTACGGCCGAATGACTAACCGATTCAGCCTCGGGGCGTTAACGATGTCGCGTTAATCGACGCCTACGATAATCCGTCGGAACATGTTCGCGGAATAACTGGTTTCGTTGATCGCTCGTCGGACGCGCTTATCTTCCTGGATATCCGAGCATCGATCGATCGCGCGCGACGATTATGTGGGTCTAGGTCGAGCCCCGTTGTCGCTTCGAAAAATGTTCCCCCACCATGCCGGCGTTAGTACGCGGTATATACCGGTCGATCGGGAATTCTCCTCGCGATCGTGTTGCATTCTGAAAATTCCATCGCGACGACATCAATCTTCGCGGCAACAAAAAAAAAGAAGCGGGAATAGAGACGCGTAGTATTACAGGAAACGCTCGCGGGCCGCATTTCTTTCCCGATTAAGGTCGAATACATTAGCTATATCGTCGATACGAAAAAACAACAACAACAACCGGACGAACATTTTCTAATCGGATACCGATTGCCCCTCCCCCCCCCTCCCCGCCCCGTGTTCCAGGACACGGTAAATCTGTCCTCGTTTCGAGGTTATTTCATCGGATCTGTCAGCTGGCTTCTTTTCAGTAACACGGCGGAATGAACTCGTGTCTTTGAAGCCACGGTTTCAACGACGAAAGGGTCCTCTTATATTAGGGTTAGGCTAGGTACAATATTATTGCGGTTTCTCAACGAAGGCGAAAATATTATATATAGAGAAAATAATTATATATATAAAATATTATAAAAAAATATTATATAAAATATTATTTTATATATAAAGTATTATATATAGAGAAAATAAGACCTTTTACGGCAATAAATTGATAACTTGAGCTCTATACATATTCTCTGTACATATATCAAATATGTTGCATCTCTGAAAGCACAAATTTCGTTAGAAATCGTGATATAAAGAAATCATAAGTGTGCATATATTATCGCGGTTATGTATCTATTGCTGCAAGCGACATACTGCGGATGTTTCGATTATTGTGTGTCAAGGTTAACATAATCCATTTTCTTTTAAATGTATACATACAGCTGCAATTCCTAGGATCAGGATATTCTCATTGTAGCACTTTACGAATTAGGTATAGAGGTACTCTACGATCAAGCGTGTTCGCCCCCCGGCTCGTCGAAAAATGCACTGTACAGGTTAAGGTACGCAGTTCAGTAAAGCACCGCAGTAATGTATAATACATACATAGTAAAAAAAACTAGGCGCCAAATATGTACTATGTTGCAAAATAATATTAAAATAATATATATATATAAAATAATATTAAATAATAGGTGATAATGACAGTGTACGGCAATTTTTTTATCAAAGTCTGGGGAAATACCCCTACTTACCCAATCTTCTTTGTTTACTGCTCGTATCGCGTGAAATGCGTTCTAAACGTATTTATTATCATCCTCTGAAATCTTTAGAACGATGCACAGTCGATTTCGTTCTTCAAAAGTGGAGCAGGAAAATTGGCATTGTCGTTAGAACAACTTAGAAAATATGAAAGAATCGTGGGCGGAGATTGAACAGCGGATTAGTTAGTTAAGAAACATAACCAAAATTTAATGAACAGTTTCCAAATACGATTACAAACGACATTATATGACGAACGAATTACGGACTTCGTGCGTGAAAATGAATTCTGACTTTTCTATTCTCGACTCTCGTCGGAACGATTAAAAGGACAGAATTAATTATCACGTAATCTCTATCGTTTACGATTCGCTGAACAAGTTTTTATTTTTCATACAGGTCCGCAGTCTAGTCACAAAGGACCGGTCTGATCCTGACAGGCGAGAACAAAAACCATTCTTCTTTCACGGTACAATGACTCTGCTTTTTGACAAATAATAAATAGCAACGGGAGTAACAACAATTGTTCGATGCGACGTGATAACAAGGATATTGTCTCGTGCGATGAATCGGGATCGGGCCGACAGTGTTAACAACGACAACGTTAAAAAAATATAGCGAAGGTAGCGAATATATCATATACATAATATTTATATTACAATAATAATATTATATATATTATATATATATTATAATTAATATTATATATATGATATTATTATTATAATAATATACATAATGTTTTCATAAACAAATTCTAATAATCGTCGTTATAATAATAATAATATTATATATCATATTATTATTCTAATAATATATATAATATTTTCATAAACAAATTCTAATAATCGTCGTTATAATAATAATAATATTATATATCATATTATTATTCTAATAATATATATAATATTTTCATAAACAAATTCTAATAATCGTCGTTATAATAATAATAATATTATATATCATATTATTATTCTAATAATATATATAATATTTTCATAAACAAATTCTAATAATCGTCGTTATAATAATAATAATATTATATATCATATTATTATTCTAATAATATATATAATATTTTCATAAACAAATTCTAATAATCGTCGTTATAATAATAATAATATTATATATCATATTATTATTCTAATAATATATATAATATTTTCATAAACAAATTCTAATAATCGTCGTTATAATAATAATAATATTATATATAATATTATTATTGTAATAATATATATAATATTTTCATAAACAAATTCTAATAATCATCGTTATAATAATAATAATATTATATGTTATATATATTATAATAATAATAATATTATATATTACATATATTATAATAATAATAATATTATATATATAATATTATTATTATAACAATATATGTAATATTTTCATAAACAAATTCTAATAATCGTCGTACTGAGATCTGTAATAACTACGTCTCGGGTAATCGTAGTATCTTCGATTGCTGTACTCGTCGCGGTACCTAGACCTGGCCTGCGACTCCTGCCGATACCGGAAGAGGGGTCTGAAGATGATGTCCTCGGCGACGTCCATGTCGCCGGCCGCCCTCGGATATTCATCGTGATCCGGGAATAACGGCGCGACGATGCCCCATCTTGGCACCGCGACAGGCGCCAGGAACAGCTCCTCGTTCAACAGATTCGAGGATCCGTCCGGCAACAGCGACACCGGCATCGTTTCCTGCGTCGACGGCACGATCGCGATCTGAAAAATGCCGGAACTCTTTTAAAAAGTATCCGCGTTCCCTTGGTATTCGCGCGCGTCGCCGGAATTCATCGTCGGATGGAGGAACGGTGAAGAAAAAAGAAGCGGCTGCTTTGCTGGTTACATTTTATTAGAACCACCTTGTATGTGTGTGTGTATACAGCTTGACGGTTTCTCTCTCTCGCCAGAAGAAAGTAACTTCTATTTATACCGCGAGGATGTCATAGACGCGAAATAAATTAATATACGCGAACACCGCGGCGACGCAAAATTATTTCCGTGCACGCGAGCAGACGCGAAAGATTTATCGCGACGTGCGCGATTCGAACAACAACCGCGTCGAACTTATTATCATCGGATTACCCAACGATATACAGGTCAGGAATTTCCCATGCGACATCCGCTACGACGGATTTTAAACGTACGCTGACGCTCGGAAATATTCGATGCTCGAGGCGAGACGTACAGGGTGTCCCAGAATTATGGTATTTGCGGGAAACGAGGGATTTCCGAGGTGATTCGAAGTAAATTTTTCCTTTACAGAAATGTTCTCCGAGGCATCGTTCACGAGTTATTGAAAGGAAAACACTGACCAATAACACTGACACGATTTTTCAGTTCCTTTAGCACTATGAAATTCTTGTAGAGCTTCACTCCCTGAACAAGAATCCGAAAATCGAATTGTTCCATCACCCTCAGTTTTTTAAATAAACGAACTTTTGTAAAAACCCAAAGTTTTCGACAAAAATGAGGTATTGCATGAAAAGTACAAACGCTAGAAAGTTCTAATCAGTCTCAAAAGATAGAGGAGAGTTTCCCGAATATAGTGGCATGCAATTTATTAATTGTTTTTCGTGCCAAATAGCAATAAATTAATGTCAAAGTTTAAAAAAGCGTCGACGTGAGCAGTTTCTCCGAAATATTTTTGTATTTTTACGAAAAGTTTTTTGTTCGGCACGAAAACTCTACCCAAGATCGGATTCTGTAGACATTTCTGAAGAAGAAACGGCTCGGTAAAAGTGTCGGAACGATATACATTTCGAGTAGATCGAGAAAATGTTCGACGGCAACATGTACACGACGTTTTGCCGCCATGAGCTTCGCTGCTCGCTTCTCTCTGTCCGACAGGGCCGAAGCTACGCGTAGTCAACACCGATGGAGGGATCCAATGGGGCACCCACTTTTCGTAAATAATATTTGAATTTTTTTTAGTACTTCAATGTTCTGTTTTTTTTTACATATTTCTGTGGATAATAATCACCAAACTGTGATATATTTCACCAAAAAAATCACACCAGAGTATTTGGAGTTGGTAACGAAAGTATTCTAACACTAGCATAATTTTGACTTCTACGCCATATAATTAAATAAATATTTAAATATATATTTAACGATATGTTTCAAGAAGTTTAACGTTTTGAAAATGATTATTTATTCATGATCGTATTATCGTTATAATTTAAATGATAACTGTATACATGATATACTTGTAATTCGAACAAATTCAGAATAAAATGAATATTTTTTGTTCATTATTTTTCTTTTATTATTTCACCATTTTTAATTTATGATTCACAGTTTGGTGATTATTATCCATAAAAATATGTAAAAGAAGACAGCACATTGAAGTACTAAAAAAATTGGCACG